CATGACCTTCTCTAGGAGATCTTCCCAACCCAGGGATCGAACCCGGTCTCCTGCATTGCAGGCATATTCCTTACTGTCTGAGCCACTAGGGAAGCCCAGGAAAGAATGTAAATGATCATTTTCTTCTTTGTACATTTCATAATATTTAGCCTTCATAAATAAGCATAAGCAATCTTTAAAAAAGACTCTTTTTTAGCCTTGAAATACAGAATTTTATTTTAAAACTGCTTAAAATAGGGGAAAAAACACCTTGTCAAGAAAGAAAACTGGGTTCCCAATAAACTGGAACTTTAAGGCAACTAATATCTACATGGCCACAAAAGAGAAATAGCACCCTGTTATTTGAACAGTGACTCATTACTTTAACTTTGGTACATTATAAATCACTGAATCAACTCTGAATATTTATTGGAAGGACTGATGCTGAAGCTCCAATACTTTGGCCACCTAATATGAAGAGCCAACTCATTGGAAAAGACTCTGATGCTGCAAAAATTGAGGGCAGAAGGAGAAGGGGGCGACAGACGTGGAGATGGTTGGATAGCAACACTGACTCAATGGACATGAGTTTGAGCAAGCTCCAGGAGTTGGTGATGGACAGGGAAGCCTGTCCTGCTACAGTCCATGGGGTCTCATAGAGTTGGACACAACTGAACAACAACAAAATAATAGACTAGGAGGAAGAAATTTGACCTCCAAATCTTTTTGATCTCAAAAATAAGAGATTATTTTTTTGGAGGTGGGGAGTGGGATGGGAGTGTGCTTTCCATTCAGTCTCTAGCTTAGCCTGGTAGCTCTTTATGAAAAGTAAAATTTGCTTTTATTAAAGCAAGCAGATCTGCTTATGTGAGTACCACAGACATAACTAGGGTTTGTTTCATGGGTCGTCCCAGAAGACCGGGCAGACTTCTGGCTCCTGTGGACCCAGGAAGGACGGGACGAGGTCAGCTCTGCAACTGAATAACAACAATCACTGAATATGAGTTTTCCTCTGAATTCCACACAGCACATGAGCTACAAAATTTTATGATGAAATACCTGCTTGCTACACACATTTCAGGACAAGCTCAGGAATACATGGATATTGGCATTCTCATTGTACAAAGGAGGATGTGGAGGTTTCAAGCGGGTCAGTGGCCTGCACGGGGTCACTGAGTATGCAGCATCCATTAATTTCTCTGGCCTGAGGTTCCATGACTGCTCCCCTGACCCTTGTCAGACCCTGGGCTCCCATGACCAGAGTCCTTGGCCTTGTCTGACCACGACCTCTAAGTTCCCAGGTCCACACGTCTGCTCACTCTGCTCTTGGAAAACCCCTGTCCTGCCTCCATCCATTCCTCCAGACCCATATCAAATGTTCCTCCTCCCACGAGATTCCCCCGAGACGCCTGGCTGTCCTGAACGCACCTCTCCCCGACAATCCCCAAGGTGCATACCAGAGTGCGCCAAGCAGCAGGCTCCCAGCCAGCTCAAGCCCTCTGAATGCTTCAGATGGCTTATCTAGCATTTGGAGAACTTAAAAAAATAATGATCAATACTCACAAATTGAGAGAATTTACACAAAACCTCTATATATCTAGTGGCTCAAGCCCCCTGGCTTGACAATCATGACTTGTAGCTAAGTGACCATGGCTCTGCTTAGATAGGAAGTGTTGGCTCCAGTTCTAATAAATTTCTCTTAATTCTGCTTATCCTTGGCCTATGTTTCATCACTCACTGCTACTGCCTGACCCCTCTGAACAGGTATGTCTGAGGCGTTTGAGCACAGCTTGCCAGGGATTATTGCTTTGGAGGCACTTTATCTCCGCCTCTCTACCCAGAGAACCTGGTGTATGTCTGGTGTTGCCTGCCCTCCTTGGCCCAGCACAAAGTAGGTGCTCAGTGAAGACCCGCAAACACTGAAATCATGATTGCTGTAATCCCAGGGACAGAGAACAGTGACCTGAGAGAGAAAAAGAAAAAGAATGACTCTTTGGAAATGACAGATTTTATCCATTTCTTTTAACACTTTCTACCTTGAGCCGGATAATATGGATGTATATCTCACCTATTCTACTGGCCTGAACCCTCCATAAAGCATTGTGAGTGCAGTTTTTGCCCTGGGACACTCCTAGTGCAGCCCAGAGGCATGGCGCATACATACTAGGCACTAGATGGATATTATCATAAACTTTAACCCTGAAACCCAGCACTTAATGTTTCCACTACATTTTGTTGTTGTTCTTTACTTGCTAAGTTGTGTCTGACTCTTTTCCAGCACCACAGACTGTACCCTGCCAGGCTCCTCTGTCCATGGGATTTCCCAGGCAGGAATACTGGAGTGTGTAGGCATTTACTTCTCCAGGGGATCTTCCCAACCCAGGGATCGAACTTGGGTGCAAGTAGATTCTTTGCTGCTAAGCCACCAAGGAAACCCCGTTCCGCTACATTTAAAAACCAACAAAACACACATCCTTCCCTCCCACTCATTCAACTGACAGCTTAATATATCAATTATCTGAATTACAGTCAAGAAGAGCCTAGGCTATTCCTTCAACTTTGTAGATGGGGACTGGCCCAATTTTTCCCAAGTTGTTGGGACAGAAAGAAGACCAAAGAATGATGACCTTAAAGGCGGGCATAGGGCAGTCTGGGTTTCAGTTTCCCTGTCATCTCATGCGCTCATTAGTGATGCTCTTCATCTGGGTGAACAGGAGCATCTTCATTGATGGGGATGTGAGCTGCCTCCCATCGCATTAATAGTCCCCGAATGTGATTTGGCAGTGGCACAGGTCTCATTAGAGTGGAAGGGCGTGTGCGAAGGCAGACAGCCTCCCCTTTCTAAGAAAACACTTTGCATGTGAACAAAGGTGGAAGGATGTCGGGCTTTTACAGAGCATCTGTATCTTACTCATCACTTGGCAAAGTCCTCTGGAGACCCCCGCTAAGTAAAGAACTTTGTGACCTTTTCAAACTATCAAAGGTGACCCAATGAAGCTCAGGGGGCTTTGTTCCCCAAGTTTCTTTTCACTGGTTGCCTCCGACAACCAAGCCTGAACAAAACAGCCTCCGGGAGACCGCCACATAATAACTCCCTATTTGCTTCAGCAAAGAGCAGCTCAAACAAAAGATTTTTTTTTTTTAAAGAAGAAAAAGAATATCAGAATGAAAGGAGGAACAAGGAATCTGACAATTCAGGACACGCAGATCCTCAGTAGTGATGCATGTACCCGGGGACCGATTGTCAGGGTGAGGTCTCTGAGCATTTCCAATGAGCAGCCTGGCATCCGGCAAGATGTGGATGTTCTTCACTGGTGTGACTATATTCCTGAAAGATTCTGCGTCCCTGAGCAGGGAATGGCCTTAAAAGCATCTTGCATAGTGACCATCACACCAGATGATACTCTTGCCTTTGATGTTTTTGGGGAAAGAAGGGAATCATAAAAACCACAAGAGGGGACTCACAACTTTCTCACTTGTAAATCCAGGCAGAGATGTTGTGGGTTGGTCAAGTTAGAAGAAATGTTCAAATGTAGAAAACTGGCCATATGTTTTCTACAGCATAGCAATGTAGGGTCGATATGTCTGTCTTCTCATCCCACATGCCTGGGTTCTCCCTTGAGGAAGAAGGCACATACATTTTGGTCTCACTGAGCAACTCTTTGCCAACTCTCTTTCCCAGGAACAGTAAGGCAGATCCTTTATACATATATATTTTTAAAGTAATTTTTATTGGAGTGTATTTGCTTTACAGTGTTGTTAGTTTCTACTATACAGCAAAGTGAATCAACCACACGTATATATATCCCCTCACTTTCGGATTTCCTTCCCATTTAGTTCCCCTCAGGGCACTGAGGAGAATGCCCTGGGCTGTACAGTAGGTTCTCACTAGTTATGGTTTACACGCAGCGTCAAGTCTCTACATGTCAACCCCCATCTCCCAATTCACCCCCCGTCCATGTTCTTTCTCTATTTGGACGGGTCATGGCTTCATCAGAACTTTCAACGTGGAGCTTCTAGATGCCCGGGGGGCATTTCCTACCAAGGTGACCTCTGTCCACATGCCCCACTCCCATCACCCACAGTCACTGCTGCCTCATTCGAGCACTGCAGGCTAACCAATGACAGATGTCCCTGCGGGCAGGCCCCAACGTGGCTGTGGAACATGAGGCAGTCCTCCTGGAGACCTGGCCCCACTCACCACTGGAGCAACAACAGAAAAATCTAATACAGGCTGCAGATCACACGCCTATGCCACCTAAAGATAAAGGCAAGGGAGAGAGACCTTTGGAAAGGTCCGTGGCATAGTCACAAACAGGGGTGGGGGGATGCGGAGAGCACCTGGACGGAGGTCTCCCCTGGACCATCCTAGGCTCTGGCTGTGCCTCCTCCTATTCAAAACCCTACAGGGACCTGTTTGAGGACATGCAGAGACTTCTGGATCTCAGCAAAACCAGAGGAATATAAATAGGTTAGATATTGCAATCAACTTCTAAAATTTTATTTTGGAATGTTGTGCCATATCTAATTATATGGTATTTAATCAGAATCCCAGGGAAGCTTTCATCTGTCCTCCCAAAGCAGATATCATTCATTCGGGGTGGGCTGGGTGAGGGAGGGCAGATCTCCCTTAAGGCTAGTGACAGTTGCAACCCCTTGGCTAACTTTCAGCTGGAGTTGCAGGGGGACGGGACGGGGGGAGATGAGGAGTGCTAAATAAACAGGAATTCACTGTTGGGTGCCATCGGCTGGAATAAGGTCCAGAGCAAGGTGGCAGGATATGAAGTTTGAGAGTAGAAAAGACATTGGCGGTCCTTTCAATTTAAAAGTGAAGAAACTGAAGCTCAGAGAGTCTGACTGACTTTTTGAAGGATGCACAGTGAATTCAATTTAGGACCCAGGCTGAGACCCAGATGTCACAAGTCCCAGGCCAAAGCAGGTGATTATGCCATCATAACACATGTCAGCCACATGTCACAACAGCAGTAAACTCCAGGGGCAGTGTCATCTCAGAAAAGTGGTGGAAAAGGGGGTGCATCTAGTGGAAGTTACCCACCCTGGATAAGGGAGTTCAGAGATGAACAACTGAAGGAAACAGGGTGAGCAGTCTGGAAAAGCAGAGATATGCAGGTATGACGATGCCTACAGAGGCAGGGGAACAAAAGCTGGCCCTTTAAAAGCTGGCCCCATGGACAAGTAGTTAGAGCTCAGTTTGGTCTCACCAGGCAAGTAGAGAACGGGTGGGTGGACTGGAAGGAAGGTTTTGGTTTGTTTTTATATTGTGGGGAAACGCACATAACATAGGGTTTCACTGGGGGCTCAGTAGTGAAGAATCCACCTGCAGTGCAGGAGATGAAGGGATGGAGGGTTGGATCCCTGGGTCGGGAAGATCCCCTGAGGAGGGCATGGCAACCCACTCCAGTGTTCTTGCCTGGAGAATCCCCGGGGACAGAGGAGCCCAGCAGGTTACAGTCCATGTGGTCACAAAGAGTTGGACACGGCTGAAGCGACAGAGCATGCAGGCACATATAACACAAAATTCACCGCTTTATCCCATTTAAAGTGTGTACTTCAGTGATACTTAGTACAGTCACAATGCTGTGACACAATCACCACCATCTAGTTCCAGAAGGTTTGCATACCCCAAAGGGCAACCCCTTAGCCATGAAGCAGCAATCCCTCCACTGGCCCTTCCCTCCAGTCCCTGGAAACCACGACTCTGCTTCTGTCTCTCCATCTGCCTGCCGGGTATTTCACACAGATGGAATCACACGGTAAGTGGCCGTGAGTGTCTGGGGAAGCTGGTGTGCCTTGTATCTAGAATGGCAGGAGAATCGCGTACTCTGAGAGGGTTCTGTGTAGTCAGTCTGAGTTCTGTGATCCTTGATTTCAGGCCAAGGCTAGAAGCCTGTGTGATGGGGGCTCAGGTCCAACAAGTGGGTAAGAAAGGATGGTTAGTCAGGGCTTCTGGACAAGCCCCTCTCTCCCCACGGACTTGTCACCACCTCCTTCCTCACCACCCTGAGCCTGCCCCTGCGGCCACCCTCAGCAGTACACCCCGACACCCCAGCTATACACCCCGACACCCCGATCCTCCCCCGCCCCCTCTCCTGGCACTCTCCTCCCACCTGCTGTCCTGTTGACACTTGCCTGCAGATTTGCCTGACACATCACAGAACATCTTCTCACTCAGGTGTCTGAGCTGAATGCACAGCTTTCTGCGGAGTTGATCTGCAGTTTCAGCTGGCTGTGGGTGCAGCCAGGGACAGAAAAGGGACTTCTGGGTGTCCTGATTTGGCCCAATAAGCTCAGAGATCGTCTATAAAGCCCGATAGCAAGGGCAATAAAATGAGCTGCAGAGGGACTGCAGGGTAGCAACATTGTCTTAACTGCTCAGAGCCAACACCCCATCACACACAAGGGCCACTATAAATGCTGATGCAAATCTTCCAACAGTTCGGAGGACAGACGACATGTTTGAGAAGCTGGATTAAAACATCAGAGAGGATCTACCAGGATCACAGAAGGGTCACTTTCCAGGTGGTGATAACAGATTTCATCCATGACCTGGAAATCATTTTAGATCAAGAACATCAGCCCAGCTTTGTGTTCAGGATCACAAGGTAAAAAGCTCTTTAGAAAAAAAGTAGCTAAGGGGACTTCCCTGGTGGTCCAGTGGTTAAGAATCTGCCTGCCAAAGCAAAAGACACCAGTTTGATTCCTGGTCCAGGAACATCCCACGTGCCCTGGAGCAACTAAGCTCGTGTGCCATACCTACTGAGCGTGTGCTCTAGAGCCGGTGAGCAACACAAGAAACCACGGCCTCTGGAAGGCCACACACAACAAAGAGTTAGCTCTTTGTTGCTGCTCTCTGCGACTAGAGAAAGCCCAGGCACAGCAGTGAGGACCCAGCATGGCCAAAAATAAATATGAAGAAATAAACAAAGCCATGTTGCACATGCAACTAATCCATTGAGTCCTGTGTCTTTTGGGTGCACGTAACAGAAGAAACGATCAATGCTTAAAAAAAAATTAGCTAAGGAACATGTAACTGGGTTGAATAGAGTCTCCAAAAACTCATGTCTCTGTGAAACCTCAGCATGTGACTTGATATGGAAATAGGGTGTTTGGAGATGCATTTAGTTACGTGAAGTCATACTGAGTTAGGCTGGGCCCTGAATCCAGTGTCCTCGTAAAGAACGGGGGATTTGAAGCCACACGGATGCCCGCAGAGGGAAGGAGGCAGAAACTACAGTGATGCAGCTGTAAGCCAAGAGAGGCCAGGGAGCGCCAGTCACCTCTGGAGGCCAGGGGCAGAAGGGCAAGAACGCTTCCCCAGCAAGAGCAGGGGGAGTGTGGCCCTGCTGATGCCCTGATTTTGGACTTCTAGCCTCCAAAATTCAAAGAGAATCACTTCCTGCTGTTTCAAACCACTCAGCATGTGGTGATTTCAACTAATCCATTGAGTCCTGTGTCTTTTGGGTGCACGTAACAGAAGAAACGATCAATGCTTAAAAAAAAATTAGCTAAGGAACATGTAACTGGGTTGAATAGAGTCTCCAAAAACTCATGTCTCTGTGAAACCTCAGCATGTAACTTGATATGGAAATAGGGTGTTTGGAGATGCATTTAGTTACGTGAAGTCATACTGGGTTAGGCTGGGCCCTGAATCCAGTGTCCTCATAAAGAGCGGGGGATTTGAAGCCGCACGGACGCCCGCAGAGGGAAGGAGGCAGAAACTGCAGTGATGCAGCTGTAAGCCAAGAGAGGCCAGGCAGTGCCAGTCACCTCTGGAGGCCAGGGGCAGAAGGGCAAGAACGCTTCCCCAGCAAGAGCAGGGGGAGTGTGGCCCTGCTGATGCCCTGATTTTGGACTTCTAGCCTCCAAAATTCAAAGAGAATCACTTCCTGCTGTTTCAAACCACTCAGCATGTGGTGATTTGCTCAAGCAGCCCTAGCAGACTATATAGAATACTCCTGATTCCCTCTTTTAAACAACTGTTCAAACCTATTTTAAAACCGGTGGAAAAGAAGCTAGCCCTTACATGTTACATTTGGATTTCGACCTCTAAACACAGAAATGAGCACAGTGTCTAGTTCCTCTGACTCAAGAAGGGCTTTCTTTCTACAGAGCAGGACTCATTTTATTTATTTGTCTGGTTGTTTGGTTTGTTTGCTGGTTAAGGCAAGGGCTGGTCCTCAGACCCCTCTGTCTCCACCACTGCTCCTCCCTCTCTGGGATCCAATTCCTTGAGTCACCAGACAGAGTCTTGCCCATTGCTGCTCATCCTTTGTGCTGACTTCTCTTTTTACAGAGAGACAGACCCAAACCTCTGAGGCAAGCCCACACTGGGCTGGCTGAGCTGGGATTCCTCCATGTTGATTTTACTTTTTATCACATTATATGGGATCCCTCTGGTGGTTACTAAGAGACACGTCAGTTTGGAGAGATTAGAGGCAAAGGAAAGAGTCTTCAAATCCGGAGGCTAAGGGACATGGGCTTTACAAGTTCCTGCGAGGCAAACAAATGCTCTATTGCTTTGAGCACCTCCCTGCGTCTATGAGAAAGCTCCTGGGGCCCGAGCAGGGTTCCATTTATCCGGGGTGTGACAGGCTCCATGGGTGATGCTTGAAAGCCATCACCATTGCATTACTGGGAACAGTGGATACAGAGCCGTCTGGCCCTAAGAAAAACAGCACAGAAGATCCCAGTCACATCTGAGTGGTTTCTGGCTTCAGGGGCTCAGAGATAGTGACAAAGATAGATTGAGGTGAGGTCCATGGGAATGCATGTCGGCATGGGGCGTGTATCTAAGCATCTCGTCGAACGTCTACACAAACTGCTCCTGCTACTGACCCTCCGAAGTCAGTCAAAGCCAGGCCCCTTTCTTACTTATGGCTTCAGTGTAAATACATCCATCTGGTGGGACCTGGCCTGTCCCTTGGTTTGTCACAGTGACAGAATGAGAAATCACTTAAGGAATGAGTGCATTTTCTTGACCGGCTGGGCACTCTGAGTTGATGCTGGGAAGGCTTTATTAAGATGCCTGTATGTCCTGAGATGTACGGATATGTTCATTTATAGCATATTCATCAGAAGACCTAAGTTAATTGCTCTCTGATGAATTGTATAACACCTCCTCTCTGCTTCTCCACCCTCCCCACCTCAAAGTACACTGCAAAGGTCAATGGCACTCTCACACGCAACACATTTCAACTTCCTTCCAAGCTTATAATTAAAGCTAATTAGTAGTTTTGGTAATTAGCACATGTAAGCTCTCCACTCTGAATTAATAAGACTTAGTGAGGTTTTGAGCCACGTAGTCTTTTTAGTCCCTGGTTCTGAGTCCTGAGCCGCCTGTGGTTGATTAATTTAAAGTGTTTCCCTGGGTCGGGAAGATTTCCTGGGGAGGAAATGGCAACTCACTCCAGTATCCTTGCCGGGAAAATCCCATGGACAGAGGAGCCTGGCGGGCTGCAGTTCATGGGGTTGCAAAGAGTTGGACATGATTGAGTATGTCAAAAGTGGAATACTGGGGAAACTATTCCTTTTTAGGGCCTACCCTCAAGACAGAGTGTGAGTTAGTGAGAGGCAAAAGTCGAATTATTGCCACTGGATAAGATTAGAGCCTTCTAGCATCTCTAGGAACTGATTAATCTCAGCCTCTGGATGTGAAATGGTTGTGTCCTGATACTGTGTCACTTGCACTCAACCCATCTCCAGAACCCTCTGCTTCATTGTGTCAGTCACACTGAACACATCAGACCTTCTTTAATAAAATGTGGAGGCAATGGCTTGGGGTGCCAAGAAATAACTGCTCATTTTGTTTCAAACAAAAATCAAAGAGGAGAAGAATCGTTAGTCAAATCAGCTTCTGCTTTTGTGTAGACAAAGCGATTCTCTAAATAGCTTCATGGGTCTTTTTTTAGTCAGCATGTGGGCATCCTGCAGGCCCAGACAGAATTAAGTGTGTGTGTGTGTGTGTGTGTGTGTGTGTGTGTGTGTGTGTGTGTGTTTTAATCAAGAAATCAAATCTATAAAAGAAAAAAAGAAGAAAAAACCCTCTGTGATTTGTTTTCAGACTTTAGAAACAGTTTGAGAAAAATCTTCCATGGGTGAGCTCCTTGTGCCTTCCCCTCCCCTCAATACAAATCTGAGGTCGAAAAAAGAAAAAAAAATAGAACAGTGACTTACTAGAGTCCTTATAAATCCACAACAATAGTGGTGGTTGCTCATAGCACCAGTCATTTTGAAGCATAAGGGAAAGGCAACAGTCACTTCTGCCTGAAGACTATAAGGCAGCCCTGGGTCACCTGAGTGAATGGTTCTGATTTTAATGGCATCGTTGCCACGGCTGTAACAGCCACATTTGGACCCATAAGGGGCAGTGATATTATTTAGGAGCAAAGACACATTCAGTCCCATGGATGGCTGCGATGGGAACGTGACCGGGACTATGGGTGTCCATAGCCTCCTGGCCCAGTTCAGTGGGGAGCCTTGTCTCCCACTGACTGATGCCCATTCCAAGACAGAAGTAAGTAAGTCCCATAAACAGTGGACCTCAGCCAGGGGTGACCCTGCCCCCAGGGGACATCTGGCAATGTCTGGATAGATAGTGATTGTCACAACTCTGGGGGTTTAGTGGGAGTTCATATGGACCTCAAGCGGGTGGTGACCCTGGATGCTGTGAAACATCCAGCAATGTGCAGGACAAACCCTGACAATGAAGGTGATCTGGCCTCAGGAGCCAATAGTGCAGAAATGGAGGCACCCTTGTACAGAAGGTCTACAGAGGCTCTGACCCTCCTGACATTCACTATGGAAGAGTCAAACACGAGACTTCTTGCTCGATGGTGGACTGACCTTGGCCTTCCAACAGTTGGGCTTCCCAGGTGGCAGGCATTAGAATCTGCCTGCCAATGTAGAAGATGTCAGAGGCGCGGGTTTGATCCTGGAGAATCTCCCATGGACAGGGGAGCCTGGTGGGCTACAGTCCTTAGGGTTGCAAAGAGTTAGACATGTCTGAAGCAACTAAGCATGCGAGCTCCTGGGAAGGACTAGAGCCGAGCCAGGCAGGAATCAGCAGACACACCAGGGTAATCCCAGGCACCCAGAAGCCCAGTGTGGGGCGTTTCCCCCTGCAGCTTAGGTGGACACCTTGCATTATGGATGACCTCACATGCCAAGGCGAACGGTTTAAGATGCTTTTATTTAATGACTCCTAAGTGGTTGATTACTGAGGGTCAAGTTCCTGCTTCCTGTGGGAATCTGACATTTATGAAAAGCCCCGTGCATTAATTATTCAGCGGAGACGTCCTTCCTATGGAAATTCACTGTCCTGATGCACTTGACACAGCCCTACCGTTCCCTGTCTGCAGCGGTTACTTTGTTGTTAATCCTCCAAGCATTAATTAAATAAAATTTACAACTGAGCCAGGATGCATTTACCCTCAAATATTATGCAAAAAAGACAGCTAAATGCTCTTTGATTTTTTCCTGCTAGTAGCCAATCATTACCCATAGCTATTTACGTTCTTCCTTTTGTTCTTTAAAGCATAAACCTGGTATCTCTTCCCACTGAGAAGAAAATTCTGCTTAGTAATTAAATTACACCGCATTAAACTTACTTAACTTAAGTTCACCAGCAGGGAAAATTCCATGCCCCTGGGTTTCACAATAACTCCTAATCACACTTGCAAACCCTATCTTTTCAGTGACTTGTTATAATTTTCGTTCCTGGAATTCCATTAAAAATGGTAATGTCATTACTCCTGTTAACGCTCAAAACCAACAGCATAATCCTGCATTTTAATTAGTCATTATAATTAATCATTATTTCATTAATGAAATGTTTAGTCGGTAATTGTCTTTGAGCACCTCGCTCCCTAGGCTTACAAGCATTTTGTAACATCGAATTCACTGCCTCTTTCTGATGAAGTGGTGCTGTCAAACTTATTTTATTTTAACACTTTCACGTGGCTCTGCATCTCAGGCCTGTGACCTCGCCTGCATATTTACACTTAGGAGATGTGTGGTTACTGGCTCTCGATAAGGTCTGCAAGAAGACTCACCATCGCACGC